ATATCCCCTGAAATCTTAAAACCAAACAATGTTGTTGTTGTTAAGTGCCATCGAGTCAATTCTGACCCATAGCGACCCTGTCTAGGGTTTCCGAGGAGCAGCTGGTGACCTTGCAGTTCAAATGGCTTTGCAGTCTGGCGCATTAACACACAGCGCCACACCAGTACTCCAAACAACAGGTTAGCCTAACTAGTAAAAAATATCTGCTGTGAGCATTGTGCTCTTTTAATACTTATTTATCATTATGGAATCAAATTGACAACAGTAACTTTAAGGATTAGATAGGAACCTTAGATGGCAATGAATTTACATAATGGAGGAGGAACAACTCAGAAGGAGGGTGAGAATGGTGACACAACTCAAAAAATATAATCAATCTCACTAAATTACGCTTGTAGAAACTTGAATCAGTGTGTGTTTTGTTGTGCATATTCCCAACAACAACAAAAATACATAAAATTGTATATTAAAATATAGAAGAAAGGAAATGTAACCATACAATATTGGTTCATTTCATGAATCATATTAATGTGGTGATGGTGGTGGTGTGAAATTGGTTCCAACTCATAGCACCCTGTATAGGGTTTCCAAGGTTGTATGTCTTAATGTAGGTATTAAATAATCTATCTCTAGACACATTATGTCAGTTTGTCCTACTGTGGTGGTTTGTGAGTTGCTGTGATTCTGAAAGCTATGCCACCGGTATTTTAAATACCAGCAGTGTCACTCATGGTGGACAGGATTCAGATGAGCTTCCAGACGAAGACAAACTAGGAAGAAGGAATGACAAACTACTTCCGACTATTTAGTCACTGAAAACCTTATGAATAGCAGAGAAACAATGTCAGATATAGTTTTGGAAAATGAGCCCTCAGGTTAGAAGGCACTCAAAATGATACTGGGGAAGAGTTGCCTCCTCAGAGCAGAAGTGACTGTGATGACACAAATGGAGTAAAGCCCATGGGAGAAAAGCCTGCGGATCTTCATTTGCTGATGGGCACAACTCAAAATGAAGAGAGTCAGCTATAAACATCCACTGAAAATCAGACCATGGAATGTATGAAATATGAAGCTGAGAAAATTGAAAGTTGTCAAAAATAAAATAGAACGCATCAACATCGATATCTTAGGCATTAGTGAGCTGAAATGGACTGGTATTGGCCATTTTGAATCTCACAACCACATGGTTTACTATGCCAGGAATGACAAATTGAAGAGGAATGGTGTTGCATTCATTGTCAAAAATAACATATCCAGATCAGTCTTGAGGTACAATGCTGTCTGTGATAGACTATCCATGCACCTACAAGGAAGATCAGTTAATACCACTATTATTCAAATTTACGCACCAACCACGAAAGCCAGTGAGGATGAAATAGAAGAATTCCTATCAACTTCTTCAATCTGAAATTGATCAAATATGCAATCAAGATGTGTTAATCATTACTAGAGATTGGAATGCAAAGGTTGGGAGCAAAGATCAGTAGTAATATGGCCTTGGTGATAGAAATGATGCTGGAGAACACACGATAGAATTCTGCAAAACCAATGATTTGTAAATTTCAACTACCTTCTTTAGACAGCATAAGAGATGACTATATACATGGACCTCACCAGATGGAATACATAGAAATCAAACTGACTACATCTGCGGAAAGAGATGATGGAAAAACACTGTATCATCAGTTGAAAGAAGGCCAGAGGCAGACTGTGGAACAGATCATCAATTACTCATAGGCAAATTCAAACTGAAGCTGAAGAAAATGAAACAAGTCCACGAGAGCTAAAATATGACCTTGAATACATCCCACCTGAATTTAGGGATCACCTGAAGAACAGATTTGACACATTAAACACTAAAAGACTGAAGACCAGAAGAGTTGTGGGATGACATCAAGAACATCATACAGGAAGAAAGCAAAAAGTCACTGAGAAGACAAGAAAGGAGAAAAAGGTCAATATGGATGTCAGAAGAGACACTGAAACTTGCTCTCCAGTGTAGAGATGTTAAAGCAAATGGAAGAAATGAGGAGGTCCAAGAGCTGAACAGAACATTACAAAGATCAGCTTGAGAAGATAAAGCCAAATATTACAATAAAGTTTGTGCAAAGATCTGGAGTCAGAAAATCAAAAAGGAAGAACACTCTCAGCATTTCTCAAGCTGGGGGACCTGAAAAAAAAATTCAAGCCTCAACTTTCGTTATTGAAAGATTCTCTGGGAAAATTACTGAATGATGCAGAAAGCATCAAGAGAAGATAAAGAAATACAGTCACTGTACCAAAAAGAAATGGTTAATGTTCAACCATTTCAAGAGGTAGCATATGATCAAGAGCCAAAGATAGTGAATGAGGAAGTCCAAGGTGCATTGATGGAATTGGCATAGAACAATGCACCAGGAACTGATGGAATAAAAATTGAACTCTTTCAAGAAAGTGAAGCGACACAGGAGGTACTCACTCATCTCTGCCAAGAAATTAGGAAGACAACTATCTGGCCGACTGATTGGAAGAGATCCATATTTGTGCCCACTCCAAAGAGAGGTGACCCAACGAACGGAATGCAGAAATCATCAGACAATCTCTTTGATATCCCATGCGAGTAAAGTTTTGCTAAAAGTAATACAGAAATGGCTGCAAACATACATAGACAGAGAACTTCCAGAGGTTCAAGCCGGATTCAGTAGAGGCCATGGAAAGAGGGATATCATTGCTGATGTCCGATGGATCTTGGCTGAGAGCAGAGAAAATCAGAAAGATGTTTACCTGTGCTTTATTGACTGCGCAAAGGCTTTCAATTATGTGGATCATGACAGCTATGGACAACATTGCAAAGTATGAGTATTCCAGAACAATTATTTGTACTAATGAGGAGCATAGTGGTTATGAATCGAACTGCGAACCTTAAGGTCAGTGGTTCGAAACTACCAGTCGCTCCGCGGGAGAAAGATGATGCTTTCTAATCCCGTAAAGATTTACACCCTCGGAAACCCTGTACAGGGTCGCTATGGGTCAGAACCGACTCGACGGCACTTAACAACAACAAGGAATCTGTACGTGGACAAAGTGGCAGTTGTTCGAACAGAACATGGGAACACTGAATGGTTGAAAATTAAGAAAGGTGTGAGACAAGGTTGCATTCTTTCACCATACTTATTCAACCTGTATGCTGAGCAAATATTTCGAGAATCTGGGTTATATGAAGGAAAACGTGGCATCAGGATTGGAGGAATACTCATTAACATCCTGCGATATGCAGATGATACAACCTTGCTTGCTGAAAGTGAAGAGGACTTAAAACATTTACTGATGAAAATCAAAGAGCAAAGCTTTCGGTAGGGATTACATCTCAATGTAAAGCAAACAAAAATCCTCACCACTGGACCAATAAACAACATTCTTATCAATGGAGAACAGACTGAAGTTGTCAAGGACTTCATTCTTCTTGGATCAAATATCAACACTCACAGAAGCAGCAGTCAAGAAATCACACAACTTATTGCATTAGGCAAATCTGCTGCACAAAACCTTTTTCAAGTATTGAAGAGCAAAGATGTCAGCTTGAGGACTAAGGTGTGCCTAACCCAAGCCATGGTATTCATATGCAGATGAAAGCTGGACAGTGAATAAGGAAGACCATAGAAGAATTGATGCATTTGTGTTACGGTGTTGGAGAAAACTGAAAGTGCCATGGCTGCCAAAGAACTAATAGATCCGTTTTGGAAGAAGTGCAGCCAGAGTGCTCCTTTGAGGCCAAGATGGCCAAACTCCGTCTCTCATACTTCAGACATATTGTCTGGAGGAAACAACTGCTGGAGAAGGATATCATATTTGGTAAGGTAGAGAGTCAGAGAAAAAGAGGAAGACCCCCAATGAGATGGATTAGCCAAGTGGCAGCATTGATGGACTCAAGCATGGCAACAGTAGTGACGTTGGCCCAGGATCAGGCAGTGTTTTGTTCTGCTGAGCATAAGGTCACTATGAGTCAGTATCAATTCAATGGCACCTAACAACAGACACATTATTTAGGAGCTCTGGTAATGTAGTGGTTACGAGTTGGGCTGCTAATCTCATGGTCATCAGTTCAAAATTACCAGCCGTTCCATGGGAGATAGATGAGGCTTTCTGTTCCCATAAAGATTTGCAGCATTAGAAACCCTATACGGGGTCGCTATAAGTTGGAACCAACTCAACAGCACTTAACAACAACAGACACATTATTGGAGTCCTGATGTGGTCCTGTGGGTTTATGGGCTAGACTGCAAAGTAATTTGATCTGCAAGATTGGCAGCTCAAGCTCACCAACTGCTCCTTGGAAAATCTATACAGGCTCACTACAGGTCGGAACCAACTTGATGGCACTTAAGAACAACAACAAAGACACAGTATTGGAAGAAAGATGAGGCTTTCTGCTCTCACAAACATGCACAGCCTAAGAAACCCTATATAGGATCACTATGAGTTAGAACCAACTTGAAGGCACTTAACACGATATATTATGGAGTCCTGGTATGGTGCTGTAGGATACAACTGATGGTTCAAAACCATCAATCTTGCAGTTCAAATCTATCTTCTGGTCCAATGCTTATTCTATAGCACCACACAAGGACTCCCAAATTATGGGCTTAAAAAAAAAAAAATTGTATCATTAAGAACTAAAGCAGTTAATTTCTGACCTCCCAAAATTTCTAAATGTTTTATTTCAATTAAAAAGGAGTACCATATGAAGTGAAGGGGCTCTGGTAGCATAGCGGATTACGAGCTGGACTGTGAACCATAAGGTCAGTAGTTTGAATCTACTGGCTGCTCTGTGGGAGAAGATGAGGTTTTCTGCTCCCGTAATGATTTACAGCCTTGGAAACCCTATGCAGGTCACTATGAGTCAAACTGACTACATGACACATAACCACCACCACTACCAGTATATGAACCACTATGTACTTTGGTGAATATACCTACAAAAAAACCAAATACAAGTCCTTTGAACATCAAAATCAGTTTACCCTGAAACGATGTTGTAGTTCAGAGCAGGGTGGTCTTTAGAGACAGGAGGAACAAGAGGTTCTGGCTGCCACTCTTCAATCAATTCTTCTTTCTCCTACAGGAGACAAGGAAGAGTTAATATGCAGCAGAGTAAGTCACTTTGTATAAGATCCAGTAAAGATCTAAATGGTTTATGGTAGTGGAACCATGTTGAAGATACCACTAGGAACACTTTGTCTGGGTATCATGGTTAAAAAGGAATAGAATCAGTATTGAGTTCTGTAAACGAACACTCTCACTCTTTTCTTATAACAAGCTAAAGAGTGTTTTCGTCCATGTAGTTTTGTAAATGACCTGAAAGTTGAAGAAAATGTTGTTTCTAGGCTCAGGATTTTTTAATGTGAGGAGCAGGACATGTAACTACTACTGAGTGAAAACAGAAAGCCTGAACCACAGGGGTAAGCAGCATGGCTTCAGGTCAGTGAGCTCAGCCTCTGTTCTCAGTTATTATAAGCACATCACACTTTAAGGCCTTACAGATCATACATACCAAAACCACTGCCACTGAGTTGACTCCAACTCAAAGTGACCCTATACAGGATTTCTGAGGCTGAAAATCCTTACGGGAGCAGAAAGCCCCATCTTTCTCCCTCAGAGTGGTTGGTAGATCTGAGCTGCCAACCTTACAGTTAGCTAACTGCAGCTCAGTGCTTATCTTATAGCGCCACCAGTGCTCTGCAAGTACTTACAGAAACTACTTATCAACCAGATCCCAAAACTGTTTCTTTAAGACATCTGTAGTGATTCAGAAGCAGTGGAAGACAGAAAGACAGTTTTACAATAATTATTGCAATGGATTTCAGCTTTTATAAAATTTCTAATGAAAAGTCTACATTTCTTTCCTTTTATTTTTATTTTATGCATTACAAGTATCTGAGTTTGTTTTTTTTTTTTTGTTCTTACTTAAAGCAGAGAAAAAACCTGAAAATATAGGGTGAGATGACATAAGTAAATTAACATGACAGTCATAGCAAGTCTTACCTTTCAGATCTCATCACTCCTTAGAGTTCTAGTTCAATACTTTTGTTAAATGCTTATGTGCCAAGAACCTATCCACCTGTTCTTGAGCACTCAAAAATGTTTGCTGAATAAATCAGACAAAAAATTCCCTATCAGCTTCTATCAATAAGTCTAAGAAGAAAACCAGGAGTCCATAGAAAGAAAGGGGAACAATAATGTATACTAGCTACTGTGAAGAAAGACGTTAAAATCAACTGAAGATTCACTGACACTCAGGAGACACTATGGACCTATAAAACTGAGAAGGGCATGTTTTCTATGTTGGAACAAAGTTAAACTTTAAAAATACTCAGATATTTGGGTTGTTTTCCTTCCACAGCTTTTATAGTTATATGTCAGTAATTAGTAAATCTAACTAAATCAGAAAGTACTCTAAAATTATGTTTAGGCATTCCTGGTGTGGCACTGTGTGCTAATGCATCAGAGTGCAGAGTTGTTTGTACTGCAAGGTCGGTGGTTCAAGCTCATCAGCTGCTCCATGGAAACCTTATACAGGGCCGCTGTAGGTCAGAATTGACTCGACGGCACTTTAACAACAACAAATCATCCCTTTAAAAAATTTTAAGTGTGGAATGATATATTCAAACTCAAACTAACAGTATTGTTGTTACTGTTGCTAAGTGCCGTTGAGCAAGTTTTAACTCATAGCAACTCTGTAGAGTTTGGTGGGTTTTTACTTTCAACCTTTTGGTTAGTAGTTCAGGACTTATTCTACAGTGCTATACCAGGGCTAGGAATGATCAATTCCTTAAAAAGCTACGCAAAGAAAAAATCTGTATGGCCACATAACCATTCACAAGTTCCGAAATGCAGATGAAAGAAAGTAAAGACAAGATATGTATTGAAAAAAAAAAAAAAAAAAAAAATTATGGCCAAATTTAAGGCATTCTTCCAGAGAGTCAAATGTCCATGGGTATAAGAAATTCATATATCTGGATTTCCAAAATTTATTTGCCCTAACAACCATTTTATTTAATAATTACCATTAATATAGTCCCACAAGGTGACATGTCCAACTATCTAATGATTAATATTAATGATCAAGAATAGCAGTGGTTAATGAAATTCTGGACACAACTATGTTCCCATTCACTTCCTCCTGTAAATACTTCAGGAAATAAAGTAACAGTGCTCCATTTTTTGTGTCACACTCAGTGTTGCCTTGTGTCCCAAAATTTTAGAGGTTTTTATGTAAAAACATCTTATTCAGTCTCTACCTTCATTAGGATTCTGCCACAAAGATATGGGGACTGAATTTAAGTAAACAATCTAAGCGACAGACAACAAACAAGTCAACATTGTTCCTCCCTCCTATACCTGGGGCAGTTAATGGCCAGGATTAAGCATTCCTAACCTGAGTGAGCCAGGGAAGCTCTGTCATAGTAAAAGATTCCATGCAGACACTTCCAAAGATCCACTAGCCACTTCACTTCCTAAGAGCACACCAATCAATATTCAAATCTCCTTTATGAAGTCTCAAGGAACAGGTTCCCTCAGACTTACATAAGAAATATTGTTGTTAAGTGCCATAGAGGTGGTTCCGACTCATAGAGACCCTGTATAGGGTGATTCCGAGTAGTAACTGGTGAGTTTGAACCTTGCTGTTCAAACCAACCTTGAGGTTAAGTGCTTATCCTATAGCCCCACAAAAAGCTGTGCTTTTTCAGAGTACCTCACATAATCGTACACACTGGAATTCTAAATCCAGATGTTGCTCATGCTATTTACCCCTACCAAAGTACTATTTACCCCTAGTAAAGACTGTATGGATCATGGCAAGCTATGGACAACATGAATATTCTGGAACACTGAATTGTGCTCATGAGGAACCTGTACATAGATCAAGAGGCACTTGTTCTAATAGAACAAGGGGACACTGAATGGTTTAAAATTAGGAAAAGTGTGCCAGGGTTGTATTCTTTCACCATACTTCATCTGTATGCTGTGCAAATAATTTGAGAAGCTCGATTATATGAAGAATAATTTGACATCAGAATTGGAAGAAGGCTCATTAACAACCTGTGATACAACCTTGCTTGCTGAAAGCTAAGAGGACTTACTGTTGAAGATAAAAGATCACAGCCTTTGGTATGGGTTATACCTCAATGTAAAGAAAACAAAAATCCTCACCACTGGACCAATTAATAACATCCATATAAAAGGAGAAAAGATTAAAGCTGTCAGACTTCATTTTACTAGGATCACAAGTGAAGCAGCAGTCAAGAAATGTAACAACGTATTAGGCAAATCTGCTGAACAAGACCTCTTTAAAGTATTCAAGAGCAAAGATGTCAGTTTGAGGACTAAGGTGCGTCTGACCAAGCCATGGTATTTTCAGTAATTTCATATGCATGTGAAAGTTGGACAGTGAATAAGGAAGACCATAGACGAACTGATGAATTTGAGCTATATGTTGAGGGAGAATATTAAAAGTACCATGGAATGCCAAAATAATAAAACAATCTGTGTTGGAAGAAGTATAGCCAGAATGCTCCTTGGAAGCCAGGATGGCCAAACTTCGTCTCTCATACTTTGGACTTATTGTCAGGAGGGATCAGTCCCTGGAGAAGGATATCATATTTGGTAAGGTGAAGGGTTGGAGAAAAAGAGGAAGAACCCCCAACGAAATGGACTGGCACAGTAGTAGCAGCAATGGCTTCAAATGTAGCAACAATTCTGAGGTTGTTGCAGGACCGGGAAGTGTTTTGTTCTGTTATGCATAGGGTTGCTGTAAGTTGGTATCAATTTGATGGCACCTAGAAACAACAGCAAAGTACACAGGACTAAAGTAATGGCATTCATTTGGGTATTTACTTTATCTCTGGTTTCACTTTATTTTGTCTACTCTCAAAGCTTACTTCCCTTGATTTCCTCATGTCACCAAAAACATTATAAAGCATATAGTCTTTTTGGAAAAACAAGCAACTATAATCACATATTAAATAGAAACTTGACTACTTACCTTGACTGTAAGATCCGATCGTTCTTGTAATTTGTAAGTTTTAGAGAAAAGCAGTCTAATTATCCAGAGTATTAGAATTCCTTCCAAAATAAGATGGTAAGCAGGAGCCTAAGAATGAGCCCAAACCAAAATGAATACAAGAAATGAAATAAACATTTCCAAAATCTGTACATACAATTCAATGCATCTGTATAAATTGCCTCCTTTAGCCTACTCTTACTATATACTCTTTCTCAAAGTTTTTTGGATTTTTACTCAGAATTTTAACAGTACGTAACTTCTCCTATGTAAGAGAAGCCTCTAACATTGCCATTTTAAAATCTTTTAGGAATAAAAATAAGTTTTCTTCCCCAGGAAATCTGACACAAATTCCCAATAAGTGATCCTTCTGATCATTCAGATAAAAATTCAGTTAACGGGTACTCTATTCTAATGGAAGAGCTCTGGTAGCATAGTGGTTACACAGTGGACTGCTAACCACAGGTCATCAGTTTGAATTGGCCAGTTACTCCATGGCAAAAAGACGAAAACTTTCTGCTCTCACAAAGATTTACAGCCTCGAAATCCTTACAGAGGGCCACTATGAGTTCGAATTGACTCGATGGCACACAATAACTACCCCATGGGTTGTCACTGAAAAACCATTTCAAGAAATATTTAGAAATTTAAGTACAAATTATTTTCAAGCACTAAAAAGAAAGAAAATGATGACATTTTATCATAGTTAAAAAAGAAATCCAGAATTTGAAGACATGAAACCTGCTGACAAATTTTTATGTAAACTTTCAAGTCTATGCACAAATAATATAAAAATTCATACATATGTCATATACATTCACATGCATGCATGCACATGTATACAGTTATTCTTTTTTGAGTATACTGTGCTGTGGCACATAAAAACAAAAACTCTGCTATCCGAGTCTATTCTGATCCATATCGACCCCACAGGACAGAGCAGAACAGCTCCATCGAGTTTCTAGGACTGTATTTTTTACAGAAGCAGCCATGCTCATCTTTCTCCTATGGAGCCGGCTAGTGGGTATGAACTGCTGACTATGGTTAGCAGCCTGGCACCTAACCCACTGTGTCACCATAAAAATGACATAGAAATTGAGAACAAAACCAGAAAGCTCTTTAATATGAGTTGTGCCTAATCCCTTTGAATGTAATTCACTTAGGAATAAGGACTCTGGTTTAAAAATCCTTTTAATTTTCTTAAAAATTGAGATGCTATCAAGCACCTGTCTGTCAAAGTCACTAATTAAGCATTCCACTCCACAAAGAAATCATCCACAGAAAGGCTGAGACACTACTGCCGCTACTGGTGCTGTGTGCCATCAGAGCGACCCTGGATAGGGTTTTCGAGGTTGCGAATTTTTTGTGGAAGCAGAAAGCCTTTCTTTTTCTCTTGGACCAGCTCTCAGATTCAAACTGCTGACCTTGCAGTTAGCAACTCAACTCATAACCCACAATGCTAACAGGGCTCCTTGAGAGACTAGGAGTTTAGTAAGTTATTAAAAACTACCAGTGCTGCTCCTTTTACTCTCCAGGAAATGTTACATACAGAAGGACTTCTCCAAGTCTCACTCTCAGTTAATTTCACTGTTATCATAAATTAGGCTTCAAAAAGTGAGCAAACAATACATTAAGTGATTAGAAAAATCTAAAAAAAAAACAAACCACTCAGTATCAGTGTTACTATAGGACTCTTAGGGAGCTCTGGTAGTGTAGTGGTTATGAATCAGGCTGTGAAACACAAGGTCAGCAGTTCGAAAGTACCAGCTGTTCCACGGTAGAAAGATGAGGCTTTCTGCTCCTGTAAAGATATACAGCCTCGGAAACCCTGTACAGGGTCACTTTGAGTTGAAACTGACTCCACAGCACATAACAACAACAACATAGGACTCTTTGGGAACCCTATACTACCAGTTGGAACCAATTCTATGGCACTTAACAACACAATAGGGCTCCTGGTGTGGCATTGTAGGATCAGCACTGGGCTGTAAACCACAAGGTTAACAGTTCAAATCCTCCAGCTGCTCCTTGGAAACCTTACAAAGGGTTGCTATGAGTCGGAAACGACACAACAGCAACATAATTGACCTACTTTGAACATCACTTGAACAGTATGTAAAGCTAGGGGTGATCCTGCTCTCTTAACTGTTTTCCAATAAAAAGTTCTTGTAATGGAGGTCATCATTATTATTCCTGCCAGTTAGCAGCAAAATTACTTTACAAAAAAAAGTGAAATGCTCTTTGTTAAGTGCTGTAGAGTCGGTTCCAACCCATAGCGACCCTATATAACGTTTCTGAGGAGCCACTGGTGAGCTTGAAGCACCAATCTCGCAGTCTGGCGCATTAACCCACAGCACCACACCAGGACTCTGAAATAATTTTAAAGCGGTATAAAACTTAAAAGCACTTTTCACTACACTATCCCTAAGGTCTAGACTTGTACTGTCCATATCATGGCCACCAGTTGTCACAAGTTGCTATTAAAATGTACCTTTAAATAAAATTGAAAATTCATTCCTCAGTTGCATCAATCACATTTCAAGTGTCTAACATGCATATATGAAGTCTTGGTGTGGTGCTACAGGATAAAGTATTGGACCATAAGGTCAATTTGAACTGCAAGGTCGGTGGTTCAAATCCACCAGCCATTTTTGCAAACCCTATACAGGGTCCTGGTATGGCACTGTGGGCTAATGCGTCAGACTGCAAAGTCGTTTGAACTGCAAAGTCAGTGGTTCAAGCTCACCAGCTGCTCCTTGGAAACACTATACAGGGTCGCTATGGGTCGGAATCGACTCAATGGCACTTAACAACAACAACAATACAGGGCTGGTATGAGTCGGAATCAACTTGGGAACTTAGTAACAAGAGACATGTGTGGTCAGTGGCTACCGTAATGAATAGCTCAGATATTTATGGGTGGTGGTGGTCAGTGCAGTGGAGAAGGTTCTGACTCATAAAGACCCTGTATAGGGTTTTCAAGGCTGTAACTGTTTAGGGGAGCAGAAAATCTCATCTTTCTCCCGTAGACCAGCTGGCGGGCTCAAACGGCGGACCTTGTGGTTCGCAGTCCAGTGCTTACCATATAAAGTCACCGCGCTCCCATATTGGTTTTTGTTGTTGTTACACGTCGATGGGTCAGTTCCGACTCATAGCGACCCTGTGTAGTGTTTCCAAGGAAAGTCTGGTGGACTTGAACCGCCAACTTTGAGGTTAACAGTCCAGTGCTTAACTCAAGACTAACGTTTTTATTTCATATTAATTTACAAACCTGAAATACCTAGATTTTTTAAAAGTCTGAACTACTTTTCCTTTGAAAACCTACTTAAGCTTTAAAAATTTTTAATAGAAAACGGTACGTATATGAAAGACTATTTCATATTTGTAAATCCTAAGTAAATCCACCCCCAACAAAAACAAACATCAATTTATTACAATTCTTTCCCTTATCAGCACTATAAGCCCTTGTGGTAGTGATGTGATGTGGAGTCGGTTCCGAGGCTGTAAATCTTTACCGGAGCAGAACGCCTCATAGGTCTCCCACGGAACGGCTGGTAGTTTCGAACTGCTGACCTTGAGGTTAACAGCCCGACAACTATAGCAGACTCTTCCTAGCGGCGCAGGTCTCGGTGCCTGCCCGTCCTTTACTACATTCGCCCAGGAGCCCTTCTACAAAGAGAAACCAAAAGCCCGGGAGTGACGGAGCCAGCCCCACCGAGACTTCAGACTCAGACGAATCACCTCATCCTTCCCAGGAACATGCATAGTCGCGGGTAGCTCAAACCGCGAAGCTCACCTCGTAGAGCGCCTGTACCATTTCCACCAATACCCACTGCTCCGTGACAGTCGCCATAGTCGCCCACCGTGACTTCCTTCCGGAAGGCGGGGTCACAGAAACGTCAAATAGTGCGCGATGATGCGCGATGACGTCTTACGTTTGCGGGGGCGGAGCGTCTAATTGGTGCGTCCCTCTTCGTTATGCTTGCGCACTGTTTTGTCCCTAGTGTGGAAGTGAAGGGAATTACCTAGACTTATGATAGGTATATTCTGTTGTGGGATTGAAGTACCAGACCGCAAGGTCAGTTTCAACCACAGTATGTGGTTCAAGCTTACAGGCTCACCAGCCGCTTCTTAGAAATCCTATACAGGCTCGCTGTGAGTCGGAACAGACTTGGCACAACAGCAACTTGTGCCCTTAGGGCCACACCTTGGGCGCTGAAGGATAGGTTTGAGAGGTCGGGTCCCTCTTACCTTTATTTACCACCTGTCCTTTAGGTCCTAGGCCCCGTGTTGTACTCGGGATGGAGAGATAATAATAAATGGCAGAAAGTGTTACTAAGTAACACATTTTTTACTTTTAAATTACATAAGTAATTAAAATGTGTGTCATAAAAATACAAAAATAGCCCACTCATAACATCGTCTTAAAGCTTCACAGATATTAAATCATTTATCAGTTTTGGTGTGGAGCCTTCGTGAGAATTAGGTGAATTCAAGCATAGTACCCATATGAGCATACTTGATTGAATTTCTTAAATATAATTGGTACCATAGGAACTACTGTTCTACAATTTGATGTTTTCAGTTCTTTTTTCCTTGTAGCTTTTTTTCTGTCTACATATTCTGTGCAAGGATGTGGAGACATCTCATGTACTTTGGACATGTTGCCAGGAGGAACTAGTCCCTGGAGAAAGACATAATGCTTGATGAAGAGGAAGACCCTCAAAGAGATGAATTGATAAGTCGGGGCAACAAAGGGCTCAGACACAGGAAAGGCTGAGGATGGTGCAGGACAAGGCAGTGTTTCCTTCTGTTGTATATAAGATGACTGTGAGTCGGAAATGACTCCACAGCACCTAACAATAACAACATATCCTGTATTCTTTATCCTGTATTCCTTTGAATGGCAGAAGACTTTCTTGTTCCATTTTATTAAACTTTCCCCTATTAATGTGCACTTAGGTTTTCCCCACTTTTTCCATTACAAACAGGGCTGCTATAAGCATCTATGTGCATACATCTTTCCATATCAATGTATTTCCAACTAGTTTCCTGGAAGTGAAATTTTATTCAAAATGTTATGTAAAGTATCAACTTTGATAAATATGACCAAAACACCTAAGCCAATTGTTTGAAATTTTATTCACACTTTGGCCAATAATTGTTGTTGTCATTGTTAAGTGCTGTCGAGTCGATTCTGACCCATAAGTGACCCTGTATAGGGTTTCAAAGGAGCTCTGGTAGCGTAGTGGTTACGAATTGGGCTGCAAGCCTCAAGGTCAGCAGTTTGAAACTACCAGCTGTTCCGCAGGAAAAAGAGGAGGCTTTCTGTTGCGGGAAAGATTTACAGCCTCGGAAACCCTGTACAAGGTCGCTGTGAGTCGGAACCGACTCCACGGCACATAACAACAGTATAGGGTTTCAATTACAAATTTTTTTTTCTATTTTAGTGGAAATAGAATGATATAGCTAATAAACTTTATTTTCCATGCTTCTGATTACTCAGGAGGTGGAATAATTTTTATGCTTAGTAACATAAAAATTTTAATGTTTACTAACATAAAAATGGAGTCCAATTCATAAATTTTGCTAATTTTTCTATGATTATTTTGTTCTTATTTATAGTAGCATTCTGAATATCTTTTTGTTTTTATTTTGACAGTTGTTTTGTTCACTCTTTATGTAGCCTATGCTCTTTTGTCCTACCTACATTTGAAAAAAAAATTTTTTTAATAATATTGCTAATGTCTAAGAAGTTTTCATAATATTGTTAAGGAGCTCTGGTAGCATTGCTGTTGTTGTTGTTAAGTGCCGTCGAGTCGGTTCCGACCCATAGCGACCCTGTACAGGGTTTCCGAGGGTGTAAATCTTTACAGGAGTAGAAAGCCTCATCTTTCTCCCGCGGAGCGGCTGGTAGTTTCGAACCGCTGACCTTAAGGTTCGCAGCCCGATTCGTAACCACTACGAGTGGTTATGAATCGGGCTGCAAACCTGGAAACTACCAGCTGTTCCGCAGGAGAAAGATGAGGCTTTCTGCTCCCATAAAGATTTGCAGCCTTGGAAACCCTGTACAGGGTCTCTATGAGTCGAAACCGACTCCACGGCACATAACAACAACAACAAATACTCCACCACTTTCATGGATATGTTTGCAGCAAAAGTAAATGCCAGTGTACAAATATACTCTATCCATTGGAGTCCTGGTGTGGCTGTTTGAACTGCAAGGTTGGTGGTTCAAGCTCACCAATCACTCCTCAGAAACCCTATACAGGGTCACTATGAGTTGGAACTGACTCCATGGCAGTTAACAACACCAACCTATATATATTTGTGGGCATACTACTATTATCCTTCCCATACCTATGCCATTTCTTTTTCCATGTCAGATTACTATTTGGAAGACAGAAAATTATTCCACTGAGTCCTGGTGTGGCACTGTAAGCTAACCACTGAACCACAAGGTCGATTTGAGCTGCAAGGTTGGTGGTTCCAACCCTCCAGCTGCTCCTTGGAAGCCCTATACAAGGTTGCTATGAGTCAAAACTGACTCGATGGCACTTCACAACAGCAACAACAGCTTCTCACAGGGACTATGAGTGAGCTCTGAATGGACTCAGAGTGGGCATTACAACCTATGAAGCTCCACCAGCTGTGAGTCTCTGCCCTGACACACCTGTCCAAAGCTGTCATAGTAGCAGAGCCACTGGGTATTTGTCTCTCCAATTCAAAGCTGTTGATCGGTGTAGTTACTCCTGAATCAGGTATGTTGCACTGACACCACCACCCTATATCTAGAATCTGCTCATCAATTTCTTTTTACCTCCTAGAAAGAACAAAATTTTACCCTCTTCAAGTATGAGTACCATTCTCTTCTGTCAAAGGAAGCAACATTGAATTGAAATTGAACTTCCTGGGAAGGAAAAGATAGTGATGCACTCCCATAAGACCCAAGAAACACGTTTAACAAACATGGAAAACATAGAAAGTTGATCTGCATTGCTAAAATGAATAAGTCAGAAAAACAGGCCCTGTGGATTATGTTCATCATATCTGATGGAGTTGTGTGCAGCTAGCTGGCTGACTCTCCACAAGGACTGTGGGACATATACTGTTTTTAGAGGGACAGCCATATACACACTTGAGTTTCTCATTTTATACCAGATGGAACTGTGAGTTTAATGTTTCGTAAACAACAAAAAAAAGTGATTTTGAAGATGAACCTTGAATCTGCAATATCTGTGCTTAATGTCAGGGAAAAGTGAGGGGGTTTAGAAGTAGTAAGAGGATGGACTTATATCCCTCACCCCTCTCTTTCAAGCTGTGTGAACCCAGGGAGGTTTTAGAAACTCACTGTTTCCTCATCTGTCAGAGATAGTAATAGAACTCGCCTCATTGAGTGACTGTGGGGAATAAGTGAGGCTATGCTTATCAAATGCTTAGAACCATGCTGCACAACTCAACCAGACTTTTAATATTATTTCAGAAAAATAAATCCTTATTTTTTAAAAGAAAAACTTTTTACACAAAATTTTTTGTTTTTATTTATGTTGTGCTTCCTGTTCTCTCTCATTTTCAACAGTCATAATAGTTTTCATTTTAGTGTGGTGCTGTAAGATCAGCACTGACCTGCTAACTACAGGATGGCAGTTCAAACCCACCACCCACTCCTTGGAAACCCTATTGATTGGTTGTGTTCCAATTCCAACTCATAGTGACTCTGTATTGCACTACTGATTTATGGGAGCAGAAAGCCTCATCTTTCTCCCATGGAGTGACTGGTAGATTTGAACTACTGATGTAGCAATGAGCAGCCCAGCTCATAATCCACTACGCTACCAGGGCACCTTTGGAAACTATACAGGGTTGCTATGAGTTAGAACCAACTCTACAATCCTTAACAACAACTACAGGTGGGATTAACTAAATAATAATGAATAGCAGCACATCAGTACAATGAGGATGGTAGGTAATTTCCTCCTGAAAGATCATGTGGTTTTATCTATGTGAAAGCACCTACCACAGTTTAACAGGCAGTCATAAGTGGCAGTTGTCATTAGGAAAATTCCAGATTCAGTGGGAACAGAAAGGCATGCAGCCAGTTTCAAAAGGACATCATAGGATGAGTTCAGACCAATTTAGGGAACAACTTGCCCCAGATGGACCTAACACAATCCCCAGCTGAGATAGGAGCAGACAAGCATCTTAGTTTCTTCATCTGGGTCATCTCGGGTGAAGAAAACATTCATAGTAACATGGAACAAAATTAATACCGAGTGAATATGTAAAAAGGATCCCAGGACATGCACTTACTATTTCATCTTCCTTCTTCCTCCTACATCCAGGAGCAGCATTTTAAAGGAAAGGTTTTACACAATGAACGAAGAGGCCACCACTGCTCCCCAGTGCTTGGTGCTCATTCACTCAGTGCCCTCAGATGAGGCATTCTATCTCATTTGACCTCAGTTTCCTCATCTGTACCTGAAGAGGGTTTCACAAGATGAGACTCACTGCCACTCTGTACCTGAAGAGGGTTTCACACTGAGACTCACTGCCACTCACTCACCTTTGTGGCCGTCACAGTGGCCTTGGCCTCTGTGGGTAAACTTCAGAATCGGTTGAAATGACTTGAATCTTCCTGTCAAACAAAGGTAGTTGTTGGTTGCAACCAAGGAGGTGCAAGCTTTTGGCAACCCTATGTGCAACAGAAGGAAACATTGTCAGTTCTGTGCCATCTTCACAACTGTTGGTGTGTTCAAGTCCAATGTTGGAGACATTGCATATTTTGAGTGGTTTCCAGCCTAGGGAGTGTATTTTCCAGCACTGTCTATATCAGACAGTATTCAGTTATGATCCATAGGGATTTCACTGGCTAAATTTTGGAAGTAGATTGCCATCTGTTCCTTTCTAGACGGGGTGAGTATATC